CATCTTCTTTGCAGTTCACCCAGTAGAACCGTTCACGCAGCTTGCCAAGTGTCTTGGTAACACCAAGATGTCACCGCTGGTTCCATTGTGAACTTCCGCCAAGACTTCCGGGACCCTCTTCTTTGGAATGACGATCTGCCTTCTCTCTTCTTGTCCCTCTGGTCTCTCAATCACACGGCGAAGTAATCCGTTATCTATTACCAATGAATTCCACTGGGACCAGTACGACTTCACGTTCGGCGAATATCTGCAAACTTCTTCCCACGTTGGTCTTTGGCCTGTGTTTTTCCAGTTAATTACTAAACCTAATTCTGGGTCACTGGTTTGGTCATTTGCAAGATCTTCGGGTTGCCAACTATCATTAACCACAGTTGTTCTTAGGAGTTTCACTTCTTTCTCTTCTGCTCGGGAACAATGCTTACAGTCCTTAGCGCAAGGTCTTCTGGAAAGTGCGTCGGCATTCCGATGGATTGCCCCAGCTCGATGTTCTGTGTCGTAGTCAAATTCTTGTAATCGTTCAATCCATCTAGCTACCTGCCCTTCAGGATTCTTAAACTGCAACAGCCAATTCAAAGCAGCATGGTCTGTTCTTAACAAGAACTTTCTTCCATAGAGATACTTGTAGAAGTGTTCCACTGCTTTAACTACTGCTAGTAATTCTCGTCTGGTTACACAGTAGTTCCTTTCCGGTTTTGACAAGGTCTTACTAAAATAACCAATGACTTTTTCTTGACCATGCTGGATCTGAGACAGAACAGCGCCTAACGCAACATTGCTAGCGTCGGTATCCAATATAAAGTTTCCGTTGCCAAGAGGGTAGCTAAGTATGGGCGCACTAGTCAGGGCTTTCTTCAATTTTCGGAATGCCTCGTCAGAATCTGAGTCCCAAGAGAAACGCCTCTCGCCTTCGGTAAGTCTGGTCAATGGTTTTGCGATGTGGCGAAACCCTGTACATAGCGTCGATAGTATGTGCATAGTCCCAAAAAGCTTCGTAGTTCATGTTTATCTTTAGGTATCGGCCACTCTTCCACTGTCTTGGTCTTCTGTGGATCTACCGCAACTCCTTGGGAGGAGACTACATGGCCCAAGTAGTGTACCTTTTCTTGACACAGATGACATTTCTTGGGGCAAGTTTCAAACCAGAACTCCCTAGTCGCTTGAAAACTTCTTCCAAATTCTTCAGATGATGGTCAAAGGATTTCCCAACCACTATGATGTCATCCAGGTACACTAAACAGGTAGTCCAGGATAGTCCCTTTAACACAGACTCCATTAGTCTCTCAAAGGTAGCTGGCGCGTTGCACAATCCAAAAGGCATGACGGTAAATTGCCACAGTCCGGAGCCCACCGAGAACGCTGTCTTCTCTCTGTCTTTCGGCGCCATGTCGACTTGCCAATATCCACTCTTCAGATCTAACGTAGAGAATATCGTTGACCCCGCCAGTGTGTCTAGAGTATCGTCTATCCTCGGCAGGGGATAGCTATCCTTCTTGGTACCATTATTGAGCTGCCGATAATCAACACAGAATCTGGTGGTACCGTCTTTCTTCTTTACTAGTACTACCGGCGATGTCCACGGGCTGTTAGATGGTTCGATGACACCCTCTTCTTTCATTTCTCGAAGGATTTTATCAGCTTCTTCACGTTTGGCGAGCGGAAGTCTTCTCGGATTTTGTTTGATTGGTCGTGCTTCTCCGGTATCAATTTTATGTTGTACTAAATTGGTACGACCTCTGTGTCCTGCTTCTCCTTTATCAAACACATCTTGATACTTGATTATCAGGTTTCCCAATTTTCTACTATTTTCGGGAGATAATCCCTTAACGTTTACTAACTCCTTCACCATTTTGTCCGGAATTTTTGAAGTCGAAACTTTGGAGGCTTCCACGCTTCGAATGACTGAGGAGACCGAACAACAGTACCCTAACAGGGTTCCCTTCTTCAAGGATACAGAATAATAATTCGTATTCATTACTCTCACCGGTACAGTTTTCTTCGCTCGTAGCAGGGCTTTTCCAACAGCGATCCCTCGTCCTATTTCGCTGTCATGGTTCCTTGGCTCCAACAGAATAATACTCCCATTATTCATTTTACCTTCCAGGCAACCATCCAAAAATACCTCACAGCGCTCAGGGATCGAAACATCTTCTGCTACTACCACGCGAAGCGTCTCCTCACATTTTCGATGTAGAACCACTTATTCCTCATTTATTTTCAAAATTCCCTCTTTGAAGTTTAGGTCAAAACCTTTAGTGGTCATGATGTTCATTCCGAGAATAAGTTCATCTTCGATATCTGCTACTAACACTGGATGTTCAAAACTGGTGCTCCCAATAACAAAATTAAGATTTACTTCTCCATGGACAGCAGCGGAGCCCCCCGTAGCAGTACGTAGTCGCCATTGTGTTGTTTTAACCTTCTTCGATGTTTAAGAATGTCCGGTCTGATGATAGTTTTCGTCGCACCTGTATCCAACAGCATGGTCCGGAACTCTCCATCAACAAAACCATCCACAAAAATGCTGTTGAATTTGTGTTGTAGCGAGGCGACTTGAGCAGTTTTCGTTGGGGCATGTTGGGTACAGGTCGACGTGTGCCCCTTCATTTCGACCCTTAGTAGTTTTCCGACCTCGACGGAGCCGGTTCTTCGTTCTTCTCCTTACAACGGCTTCGCACGTGTCCTACCTGTCCGCAGTTCCAGCAACGTATCGGTCCCTTCTTGCCCATATACTGGTCCATTACCTTCCGAACAATCCCTTCCACGGATTCGTCGGAACATTCGTCGATGGCCCGTACTCTTCCTAAAAGACCGAGAACTTTGTTTCGCGGCCTCAAATTCTAGGGCACGTGCTAAAGCATCCACCAAGTGCGTTGGGTGGGCTAGGAGAAGTGCTTGTCTTGTCTCGTTGTCACGTAAGCCGTCGGAGAATGCCTGTACTGCCAACCGCTCCATTACATTCTCTGGCGTAGCAGGGTACGCAAGGCGAACGAGGCGGGCTACGTCGGCTTCAAACTCCTGCAGAGACTCATTTGACTTTTGAATGCGATTTTTTAGCTGGGAATGATAGACATGTTCCAAATGAGCTTGGCCGTACCTCATTTCTAAATGTCGTACCAATTGCTGATAATCTCCCTGTTCCGATGGTGACAATGTCTGCAGGATATCAGTCGCATCTCGCAGTGCGACAGTCAAAGCGGTAGCCTTTTCAGCGATTGTCCATCCGTTCGCTCTCGCAGCGGCCTCAAACTGGCAAAAATAATTGGCCCAAGCGGTTTTTCCGTCAAACTGTGGAGGCTTAATAACTGACTTTGAGATATACTTATTTTCGACTAGTTTCGGTGCCTCCGATGTTTCTTGACATTTTGGTGAATTGGCCTTTTCTATTTCTTGTTTTAAAATTTCGATTTTTTTATTTACATCGTCCTCAATTTGTGTTATTTTGTCTTGTAGTTCTGTAGAATTATCTATAATCTTTTCTTCTAATTCCCTGGAAGATTCCTGGATTTCTGTTATCTTTTCTTCTAAATTAAGTATTTTATTATTAAAGCTGGCCTGTATGTCTTTAGAATTTTCTGCGATTTTATCTTCTAAAATATTAATTAAATCCTGGGAATTTTCCATAATTTTATCTTTCAAACTGTCTTCTAATTTTTGAGAATTCTCTGTAATTTTATCGTTCAAACTGTCTTGCAATTCCCGGAATTTTTCGTAATTTTATCTTCTAATTTTTGTAAGGACGAGTCAAGGTCACCTTCCAACTCAAAGCAAAATGTTTCAGGATCCTCACCTTCCTCCACCAAAACGTCTCTCAGTCTGGCTTGCAAAATGCTTTTCTTTCCATCTGTCTCGCACTCTCTCTCTTCCAGTATGCATTTTAATTCCGACACTTTCAGGTCTTTCAATAATTTTCTCGGAGCCATCGTCAGTCTTTTTATTTCTCTAGTCTATCACACACGCCACACTTGACACCATTTGTTACGTTTTTCGTCGGTTCCGTGTGGATAGAAAGTCACAATTTATTTAAACACTATTTATTTAACACTAATGAACAAAAATAATAACGATAAAAGACTTATAGAACTATTTACAAACGATTTATAACTAAGAATTTATTTTGAATTTTAGCGCGTCAACTGTATATTTATAACTGCCCCCCTGTAAGGCCACGGCCGCCGGCTTTTATACCGGCAGGTAAAGAACTCTAGAATTGTCCATAGATCGTTAGGTGCGTAGAGAAGGTTTTCGAATGTTCTCGTATGTACTCGTCCATTCCAGTGGGACTCGATTCTTCTCGAACGAATGAATCATTGCGGTGTCTATGCGATGTTAAGGTCATCCGAGGGCGGGCCATATTGTGAGGTTAGGTCGAGTCCACACCGGCCCGCAACAGTATTAAATTATTCGTAAAAAATGCTTTTTCCAAATATGCTAATAAGCCACTCTCGATCCATTTAAAAAAAATTGAGATATGATTAAAAATACGATTTGAGCTTTTTCTAACTGGCCAGGACAAGACACTAAAAACATTAGACAAAATCAAATCTATTTTTCCAAGGCTCTTTGATTAAGAATTAGTGTTTTTAACATAGCCATGGGACTCTAGATTGAATTTTATAATACGATTTGTTATTAAGTGAGAATGTCAAAAGTTGACATATGATATGTCATTCTATTCAGAATGTCATTTTCTATTAAATAAATTAAAAAAATACCGAGGGTGCCATTTAAAAATCAAAAGTTGTAGTCATTTCCGGTGAAACAGGAAGTGACCAAAAACAATTGAATACGTCAATCAATCCTAATTTATGTCATATACTAACATACCAAATCTCGTTTCTTTATCTGAAAATATAAAGAAGTTATAGGGGTGAGCCACTTTTGAGACGCACCCGGATATGCCCACTTATAGTGCACACAAAATTGTTTTCAGGTAATATTCAAAAGACACTTATCTGGTGCTCTTTTTTTATGAAATAAGTAACACTCATTTTCGTTTTCAGTAAAGCTACCAGCATCGAAATCGAGCAGCTCAACGCTCGCGTCGTCGAAGCCGAGACTCGTCTCAAGACCGAGGTCCAACGCATCAAGAAGAAGCTCCAGATCCAAATCACCGAATTGGAAATGTCCTTGGACAGCGCCAACAAGACCAACATCAACTTGCAACAGACCATCAAGAAGCAATCGTTCCAACTGACCGAGATCCAGGCTCACTACGAGGAAATCCAGAGACAATTGCAAGTCACCTTGGATCAATTGAGCGTTGCCAGCAGGAGAGTACAGGCATTGACCGCTGAAGCCGAAGAAATTAGGGGCAACTATGAATCCGTAAGTAGATAAGAATCTATAGAACAAAGAGATTCTTTGTAAAAGAAAAAAGTAAAGACTCAATCTAAATACTTAATAACTTTTGTGGCGTGACGTTCATTGTTAAATAACACGCCATAACTTAAAAATCACTTCAAATATTGAAACTTTTTTTTTATTTTGAAGATCGGATCTTTTACAATATGTTTAAATATGAAAAATTGGATATAAGGTTGTTTTTGTCCATTCAAAAATTTTAAACAACCCATTTACTTTTAGTGCATAGCAATTTTCAGCAATCGCGTAACTTGTTTATTTATAAAGATTTTCACATACTGTCTGCGAAGAAAATATAGCAGAGATGTTAAGAAAGTTTTTGAAAAAACTACAGTCAATTATTTCTAATAGATTTCAAAACATCGATTTCTGAATTCAGAGTTCTAATAGCGCGATCACTGTCAAACACCAACCCAATTCCACTTATTTTTACCAAAAATGCAAGTGTTTCTAACTTCCACTTAAAAATTTTCAAGCATATGGAAAATTACAACGACTCGTTTATAAATAAACAAATAAAGTATCACGACACGTAATTAAATCATGCAGCTGAACGCATGATGTACAACCTTTATTTTTTGTATCTGCTATATCCCCTTTCATGTCTCTTAGCAATGTGCACAGTGTCTCGGTTTATTTTCTACGTCTGGCAACGTGTTTACTGTTCTCTCTTTGTTCAGTACATTATAAACGCATTGTACTCCTTCTTATATATGGAAATCTCGACCCAAGACTAACCTTTGCTAGCCGTAGTATTAAAGCAAAGTTTATTTAAAATACTTATTATTGATAAAAGTTTTTGTTTTGTTTTTCTTTAGTAGTGTAAGGAACTCTGACAATACTGAGGTTTTTTCTGCATCTTCTTCTGTTGCTTTTTAATAATAATTTACACTTCTTCTTGATTAAATATTTTATTTAATAAATCTTTAATAATTAATTTAAAAGTAAACTTAGATATAAAAACCGCGAATAGGAACAGTCTGAATTAAGAACTAAAAGTAAAAAGAGAGTAAAGAGCTACATCTTGGACTGTTGTTATGAAGTGTTCTTTCTGGAGTGTTTTTGATGTTCTTTCTGGAGTGTTTTTGTCCCCTGTCTCTTTTGTGACCGTGCTTTTATCAGAATGCCCTCTCCGAAAATCCACGAGCGTACCTTTTAAATCTTAATAAAAATTGGAAATGGGTTGCCAAGAGCCAAACATAATTATTTCCTAAATAAATAGAAATCATACTGAACAAGGAAAAGTTAATGTGACATACAAAAAACTAATACTACACTTCGGAAGAAAAACTCCTATTATACCACCATATCTCCAGATTTGGAACAGCTCTACAGACAGAAACAGGAGGCATATTGAAACCATTAATTTGAAAATGGGTTGTTAAGTAAAAAGATTGAACGCTAATGGTATAAACAACTGTTCTTGGTATAAACTATGCAAAATTATTTTAATGTAGAAGAACGCACATGTGTATAAGAGTTAAAACTAATAACTAAATATTTTCAGGCCCTCCGTGGAAAGAAACAAGCCGAACAACTTTTCGAAGACGCCAGCACCCGCATCAACGAATTGAACGTGCTCAACGTCAATTTGCAGTCGGCCAAGAGCAAGATCGAACAGGAATTGTCCACCGTCGTCGCCGACTACGATGAAGTCACCAAGGAATTGAGAATCTCCGACGAACGCTACCAACGTGTCCAGGTACGATTTTTACCGAGGATAATATATAATAGGGTGTCCCTTATTTACAAAGTTGTTTTTCTCAAAAAATAATTTCTCTCACAACGCCCTCTAAATTTTTAGTTTATTGTCTAAAAAAAATAATCGACCATTGTAGACCCTTAATATTCACAATAAACCTTGCCTCAAAGACGATTTATTTCCCATTTAAATTACATGGGAATTTGCCACTTTTTGCAAATATTTTTTTTTAAATGCCTATACCTATGTGACGGATTCATCTCTTCAAAAAATCCTTTATGGGTATTTCGCCACTGCACTGCAAAAAATAGACACATATATGTATATCCAAATCATAGACACAATGATAACAATATACAAATACAACTTACAATTCCATACATACGAGACGTTTCGGAAAAAATAAGAAGGATAGGAAAACAATATAACATACGAACATCTTTCAAAACACAAAATACACTTTCAAAACACAAGATCCATTTTATCACATACTAAACCAATGAATACAGAACAACAAACAAAAATATATATACCAAATACCATGTGAATGCGATAAATTTTATATTGGTGAAACATCTAGACCCTTAAATGTTAGAATTAAAGAACATAAAGATTATTTAAGAAAGGGAGATTTTCACAAATCTAAGATTTGTCAGCATTCATTGTCAGACAGAGGGCACAGAATAAATTTTAATAACGCTAAAATTATAATGAAAGAAGAGATAGCCTCTAAAAGAAAAATAAAAGAGGCTTTTTTAATTCAATCTAATAAAAATAAATGTATTGCTCGTGCATCTGTGGATGTTAGTAATGTATGGCAATCACTTCTTTGATTTTAAAGAACATAACATAAATAAACATAAAATACGTAAAATTTAAAAATAATCATACAGAAAGTTTGGGGCTTTTTGGTTTTACCTTATTAAGTAATTGTTATCAGGTAGTAATTGTTAATTTTGAAGTTTAACTTGGATATATAATGTCATTTTAACAGAACGTTTCTTGTAGACGTATCTGTTTTAAAAAAGTAAAGTGTTCTGGAATAGTTGAATTTAAATATTTTAAATTGTTTTTTTCTTTATTCTTTGTATTTTTTTTTGCTTCCGACGACGGAAAGAGATAAACTTTCCGAAACGTTAAGCTTAAGCATTTTAAGTTAAGTTTAAGCATTTTTTTCTTTGTTAGGCAAATTTTTATAACTGTAAACATAACTTCTGACAAGCAGTGTCCGTTTAGATTTAACGCAGAAGTGTTTACAAAATATAACTATTTTGTTTTGTAGATTTTCTTGCAGTGCAGTGGCGAAATACACATAAAGGATTTTTTTTAGAAATGTTTTTTTCTCTCGATCTTGTTATCTCCCAGCTATGACAATCACCAAATGTAACTCTTGTACAGAATTGAACGCTCTACAAAAAAGGTCTTTTACAATGTTTCGATACACCTACTCCTTCAAAAGTTAATTACGGTTAAAGTTAACCACTCGGTAAATTCCTAAATTTTTCTACTTTTTTGACAAAATTATAGTTATTTTTGAAAAATTTAATCTATTATTTGAAAAAAAGCAATTTTCATGATACCATAATAAACAATTTTGAATCATGAAAAACAATTGAATGCATGACAGGTAGTTAATTATAATACTTATTATAGTATCAGACAGAAAATGGTTGAAGCTTTAAAAGTGAATAATGACGAAAACTTCGATATTTCTAAACGCTTCTTTTTAATCAGAATGATTTTAAATGGTTTATAAACAAAAACATTGATTATTTCATAAATTTAAATTCGTTAAAATTTTTTACACGGTTTAATATTGATACCGATAAATAATACATATAAGTTTTCTAAAAATTTGAGAGTAGTTAATGATACTGCAGAAAGAGCTGTTAAATTATCAGAAGAATACATTAATATTTTATCTAGAAGTGAAGATGAAGAGCAATATGTGATTCAGATTGTAAGCGAGTATAAGAAGAAATATGAAAATCCAACTAAAGAATGTTTATTAAAATAAATCAGCTATACTTCACAACCTTAACACCATCAGAATTGTATATTTTTACAGTAATAGATTAAATTTTTCAAAAATAATCATAATTTTGTCAAAAAGGTTGAAGAATTTAGGAATTTACCGAGTGGTTAATTTTAACCGTGAATAACTTTTGAAGCAGTAGGTTTATCGAAAAATTGTTAGAGACCTTTGTTGTAGAGCGTTCAATCCTGTATAAGAATATGCAATTGCCATGGCTGCAAGAGAACAAGGTCGATAGAAAAAATATATATTTGCAAAAAGTGGCAAATTCCCGTCAAACTTGGGAGATGAATCGTTTTTGGGGCAAGGTTTGTGAATATTAAGGGTTTACAATGGTCTGTTATTTTTTTTATACAATAAACTAAAAATTTAGAGGGCCTCATGAAAATTAATTATTAACTCTGTAAATAACGGACACCCTAATGTATAATGTATTTCTTACGACTCTAGGCTGAATTTAAACACACCGTCGAAATCTTGCACGAAGAACAAGAACGCGTCGTCAAGGTTGAAGCCATCAAGAAGTCTCTGGAAATCGAAGTCAAGAACCTATCCGTACGTCTCGAGGAAGTCGAAGCCAACGCTATCGTCGGTGGAAAGAGAATCATCAGCAAATTGGAAGCCCGCATTCGCGATTTCGAATCTGAGTTAGACGAAGGTAACTATACAGGGTGGTGTGAATTTTTGTATTCTGGAAAGACTCCTTCGGCTGCTTATTCTGCAGATAAAAAAAAGCAGTTCGTATAAATGTCCTAAAATGCTTCGTTTCGGAGATAGAGAATGTGTGTCTGTTTAATTTTTATTTCGATTTTTTCCAAATAATTTCTGAAACTTAACGTTGTTATTTGGATAAAAATTCGTGTCTGCTAGTTTTTTGGCATGAGAAATTTCATTTCGATGTCAATATGACTTTTACTTCTAGGAGATATTTTTGAGCCATATTTTTGAACTGGTTTGAAAAATAATAACTTTTCTTTCGTAGAAAAATAAAACTAATGAGTAGAAAAATATACATTTCAGTCGTTTTTTACGTGAAAAATGTCTCTTGGTAAAAATTACTACGACTAATAGTTCTCGAGATATTTGGAATCGAAATAATCAATATATGGCATCATCTCGGGCATCATTAACAAAAATAGAAAATATCGACTAGATAGTTATTTGACTTAAATCAAAAATTTGAAACGTTTTTGTGCCAAAGTTTTAATAGAAACGTTTCATCAAAATTTCTTCTAGAAAAAACTCTAATTAATTTAAAAAAGAAAGTTTCTAGATTTATTTTTTCAATCAAATAACTATCTATAATCAACATGTTGATTTCTTTCAGTAATGACATGTATTGATAATTTACATTCCAAATATCTTCAGAAAGGTTAGTCGTAGTGATTTTTGCTAAGAAGCCTTTTTTATGTAAAAACGGCGCAAATGTATATTTTTGACTCAGTAGTATTATACAGGTACAAAAGAAAAGTTACCCTTCAAACCACTTTCAAACCAAAATATATAAGTGGCACGCTCTACAAATAGTAGTCATGCTAACATCAAAATGAAAGTTTCATATAAAAAAACTCCGAAACACCAATTTTCATCCAAATATTGACATTATGCTAGAAATTATTTGGAAAAAATCGAAATAAAAACGAAACTCCTACACCCTGTATCTCCGAAACGAAGTCTTTTAGGACATAAATTTATACGAAGTTTCTTATTCATTTATTATCTTTCTTTCTTAGCTGTTTTTATCATATTAAACTAAATACTCCGAATCAATGGGCACCTTCCCCAGCATCTATACTGCTCTCTCGATAGTACTCTAGTACTATCGAAAACAGAAAATAGCCATCTTTTCTGGTAGTCAAACAGCACTAAACGCGATCAACTCAGTAACCATCAATTCGAAGTTGGTCAAAGGATGCCTATAGAGAAGCTGAACAATATAGTAGATATAATAGAAAAATGCAATGAAAAAGCAAATAATCTAGCTAGAAAATGAGCGAACACTCCCACTAACTGGACCAGAACCGTTCTGTTTTCCAAGCGGGAACCAACTGAAAGCGAAAGTGAAGAATCTGGAAGACTCCATACGTAACCTGGAATGGGTGTCCTCCAACGCTCTAAGACACTCGAAAAAGTTCCTCAGAACTTACGACCGAAAAAAATCAAAGGGTTTCCTTGATTTAAGTAAAAACAATCTTCGGATTGTCACAGGGTTTCTAACAGGATACTGTCTCCTCAACGAACACCTCAGTAGGCTGAAGCTGTGAAACAACGGCGAATGCAGATTCTGTGGGGAACATGGAGAAACACCAGAAAACCTCATCACTGAGTGCGCCGAGACGACGACCGTTCGTGCCAAGAACTTTGGTACGGGTAATGGCGAGAATGGAAAGCTGGCCTCTGTGCAGCCATCTCAGATACTGGCTTTTGTTAAGGCCCTGATACTTTATGGTGGTTATAACTCAAGAAAGGGCCACACAATAGATCTGTAAGGTCGCGGTGATTAACTCCCCTTCTAAATATTCTACATTCTACATCTGTTTATATCGGTAGAATATGCTGCCTAATAAGTTTCCCGAATACAATTTGAACCACACTGTATATTGACACATAATATAATCCTAGTTTCTAAACATGTTTTTGCAAACAAGACGTTTATTAAAAGTATTTTAAGATCTAACCCTAGATTTGTCTATCTGCAAAAAAGATACCGCTTGCCCCTCAAACTCCATCTCCAAACTAACACATTATTTAACTTTCAGAGAAACGTCGTCACGCTGAAACCATCAAGATCCTGCGCAAGAAGGAACGCACCGTCAAGGAAGTGATGATCCAGTGCGAAGAGGACCAGAAGAACATCGCCCTGTTGCAGGAGGCCTTGGACAAGTCCAACCAGAAGATCGTGCTGTTCAAGAGACAGCTCCAGGAACAGGAAGGTGTGTCCTCCCAATCCGTGACTCGCGTCCGTCGCTTCCAGAGGGAATTGGAGGCCGCAGAAGACCGCGCCGATACGGCCGAAAGCAGTCTGTCACTGATCCGCGCCAAGCACCGCACCTTCGTTACCACCAGCTCAGTACCCGGAAGCCAGGTAAAGATAATAATCTATTCTTTACTCTTATCTTCTTTTTCTTCATAAACCATAATTTTTCCACTTCCTAAGATGGGACTATACTTCCTATAGATAGTTCTTATGGTCGACGTACATGGAACACATAATTGCAGATACTGTGGTCGCGTTTCAGCGAACTGCAGCTCATCGTAGTAGTTACAGTATATGCCATACACGGGAGTCGAGTTGCATTCGAAGTGGGCATCTGCAGTTCATTTGCTGTCGACACCTTCGAGTGGTCGCGTTGACGTTCGCGCCGGTACAGCCGTACACGGACCACATCCTGGCTTTTGTAGCCAACTGCAATCGCAATTTCATTTGTCTTCTAGACGTCATGGAGGAAGCTTTTGATACCGACTCATTTATCTCCGAAATTCAAAACTATCCGTGCATATTCTTCTTTTTTTTCTTAAGAAAAGTAACAGCAATGCTTTCTCCTCAGAAGTAATTTCTAAACTATTGTATGGTGGGGCTATGATTCCATAACAGTAGAGCTTAAACCGACTGCAGGATGCAGTTGATGGGACTGCAAATCTACTTCAAGAATGTGGTCGAGATGTAGTCGAATGAACTGCAAAAGTTGATTCGACTTGACAGCAAATTGTGGTTGATTAAACTGCAAATATGTGGTCCATGTATACGTCGACAGCTATTTCCAGGTATTTACAGGATGTTTCAAAAAACATGTGCCATCTCTCGTGGGGAGATTCCTCACGTAATAAGATTCCTCACGTCATAAGATTTATTTTTCATATCAAAATAGGTCCGATTCTGCTTTGTTTCTTAGCTACCGGGTGTTAAAGTCTTAATAATCTTTCGATTTATTTTCATTTCCTTCCAAGTACTTTTAGTGATTTGAATGAAATTTTGACAGTAAAAATTACTATAAGTGCTACATATTTTAATGCTAAAAAAGTGTGGATAAATTCATCGGGGATGTGCATATGGGTTATCACTGGAATATTTTCCAAAAAAACATGTGCTCCACTGACTTTTTTTTTGATATCAATATTGTGTAGGCCTTTTAATGCCAATTAAAAGTTATCTGTTGATATTTTGTGTAATTGAGCCTCCTTGATCAGATAAACGCAAGTTTATTAATCACAATTAATGAAATTAAAATAAAAATAAAATTAATAAATTATATATTCTACCTAATTTATTATTAAATATTATGGCAAAATAAAAACACTAAATCACCACAATACACCAAAACACTTTTACTTTTACACTGGACGCGCGTTTCGCTAACCATGTTAGCATGATCAGCAGATGATTATAAACTAAAGTGCAATCTACAAGTTGAGCGTTTATATACTCGCTCAGTGGGCACCGAGTGGGCGTGGCAAAATCTAGCCAACCGAGTCAGAGCCCGCTGAGCGTAACAGTTAGATTTCCGCCACTAGAGTAGTAGGAACAAAGAACTTGAAGGAATTGGACCGTTGACTCTGTTCATACTATCTTTACATTTATTAATTCTGATGCTTTCATATGCATCTAATTGCCTGTAATTTGAGACTTGTTTAATTAATTTTAAATTATTAAGATCTATACAGTAAAACACCTCCACTGGAAAGGTCGGGTATTTATGAAATTTCTTGTAAAGATTGTAATCAGAAATATGTTGGGCAAACTAGAAGATCAATATTAACTAGATTTAAAGAACATTTAGCTCAGATAAGATATGGTAGACCGGATAAATCTTGCGTTGCCGAACATATTGTTGATAAAATAGAACATTGTATAGATGTATACATTGTAGACATTCGCAGATAATTTTTAAAATTTTTCATTTTTTTCACGACGTAAGGATATACAGGGTGTCCCAGAAACAAGTGCAAGTATTTTAACTGGTAGTACAGTTCAACCCCAGAAACACGCCTATGAGGTTTTTTCGCGAAAAAAAAATTTGAAAATTCGAAATTTTAAAAAAAAAAATTGGAATTTTAGTTTTTAGTTAAAAAACATAGTTTCTTGATAATATGGCAACATAGGTATTAGATTAAATTTACAAGAAGATCCGTGGTTCTCAAAATTTTAGCAAAAAAATCATTTTTTTTGCAAAATTTTCAAAGTGAAATAACTCCGTTATTTTGGACTTATTTGAAAAACGATAAAGAGGAAATATGTTTCTTTTATCGAGATCTACCACCCCTTAAAATACTTGCACTTATTTCTGGGACACCCTGTTTATATACATATGTGCCCATAGTTTTGTGTGACTTATTTTTTATTCATTGTTTGCACAATTTTCAGCATACACAAACCCAGTAATGCCATTTTTTTCTTTATCCTGGATGTTTTACTGAAAATCTGCCGAGATTTTATACGAGTATAAAATATTTAACCCGCGATTCAATCCCTTCAAAATTTGAGAAAATTGACAACTAACTAATCACAGATCAATTCCGGTCAAAAAATAAGAAAAAAGATCTGATATTTACGTTAGTGGGTAATGAAAGATCTATCCCCTGGCAGACCCGGAATGACAGATCGAGCAGCGGGACAGATCGTTTAAAAATACCTCTCGTGTATGCCCACCTAATGTAACAATATTACACATGCTGTGCCAGGAAAAAAGTGAAATTTTACACATTAATTTTAAATCACACTTTGAATATACTACAATTATTTTGGGTTATACTAATACATATTTCTTTTTCCAGGTATACTTAGTTCAGGAAAGCCGGGCGGCAGAAATCTAAAAAAATTCTTCCCTTCTTCCCCCACCACCACCAGCTTGAGCAAATCTTTTAAAACTAAAATCCTGTTTTTATTTGAGTTATTATCATCGTTCGTGCACATAATAAATCTATTATTATCAATCTAAATAATTATGTAAAATACTATCTCTAGGTGTAAGTATATAACTACCACTCTCATAAAAATGTCTACGTTTTTTTTTATTTATATAACAGCGTATTTCTAACGAAACATACATTTTTCGACAAGTACTGTATTTTTTTTGGAAAGAGTGAAATCTGTAGGTTTCAGATCGAATCAACACCTGTTGGTTTAGAGAGCAGGGGTAAAAGTTATTTGTAAGTTTCGAATGTATTGTGTAAGAATAAATAAAGTTGCTTGTATTACAACAAAAAGTGCAGTTTATTTCTCCCAATCATAATAACAATATGTACAGTCTTACGTATATAATTTCAAAGTTTGTTAAAAAATGTCTAGAGGAGCTAAACAAACTAGGCAAAGAAAATAAAGTCCTCCTACAATGGGTGCAAGACCACCAGGAGATAGAAGGTAATGAAAAAGCAAACGATCTAGCTACAAAAGGAGGGAACACTCTTACTAACTGGACCAGAACCGTTCTGCTTCCCTATAGAAACCAACTTAAAGTAGAACTCAAAAACCTGGAAGACTCCTTCCGTACCCTGAGAAGGGAATCCTCCAAAGTTCTAAGACACTCGAAGAAATTTCTTTCAAAAAATTTCAAAGATTTTCCTTGATTTAAAAAAGAACAATCTTCGGATGGTCACGGGGTTTTTAACGGAACACTGTCTCCTCAATGTCTTAACCTAACAGTAGATTAAAGCTAAGAAATTAAGAAATAACGGCAAATGCAGATTCTGTGAAGAAAAAATCAAAACCATTCGTGCCATAAACTTTGGTACGACTGATATCGGAGGTGAAGAACTAATCTCTCTAAATCCGTCTCAGATACTGGCACTGTCAAGCCCTGAGAATAGAACATGCTATTTGCTTCGGCGTAAAAATGCTTTATTTTAGGCTTAGGTGTTAAAATGACTTTTTTATATTCAATCACGTCTTAAAAATTAAAATTAATACTCTTGTTGTTTGAAAAAAAATAGTATACCGGGTGCGTCTCAAAAGTGGCTCACCCCTATAATTTTTTTATTTTTTCAGATAAAACAACGAGATTTGGTATGTTAGTATATGACATAAATTGGGATTGATTGACGTATTCAATTGTTTTCGGTCACTTCCGGTTTCACCGGAAATGACTACAACTTTTGATTTTTAAATGGCACCTTCGGTATTTGTTTACTTTATTCGATAGAAACACTCTGAGTAGAATGGCATATCGTATGACAACTTTTGATATTTTTGCAAAAGCAGAAATAAACAAAATATTCGTTCCGGTAAAAGCGAGAACGCCAATGAACGCTGGTTGACGACGCCTACCTGCTCTCTCACTGTGCACTGGACGATTTAACAACACGCTTTAATTTTTCAAGGTTATAAGCGCGAGACGGCGCACGGTGGGGTATTAGCATGAAAAAGGTGATCGAAATTCGAAAAAGCACATGTGTTTAAGATTTCCCAAAAAAAGATAAATGATAAGTTAAATCATGTCTGCCATGAATGGCGTTGCTATGGGTGTGTTTAGTTGCATTCATTTGTTTCAACGAAACGTCAAAGTTGTTACTTCTCACAGATAAGAGTTAAATGGCTAAATTTTATGTTTAAAATTATAAATTGTTGTTCTTGTGCTCTTTTTATTTACATTTATATTATTGTTTTGATTGAAAATGACCCAGCAAGCTACAGGTATGTATTCTACAAAAACGTATTATTTATTTTGATATTCTCTATACTAACGATTTTTTTTGCAACTAAAAGTTAGGCTTTCAGAAAATTTGATTAAATTTGTGATATTTTTAATATTACTTAGAGATTTAGTTGCGCATTTCGAAGAATTCAGCACATTGTCTATATACGTTTTACTTAGTAAACTTTGGACTTTCATACAGTAAAATAAAATATTGCGACGTTTTGCGATTTTACTGATAAAATTAGAAAAACATTCTTGGTTTCCTCTAATTTGCCAATCAGTGATATACTAGGTGTAAACCGCGATGGCATTGTTGTGTACAAAGCGATCGCATTAGTGCCATTAGCAGTATAGCACAATTTGGCATTAGTAGCGACTTTAGTGGTATGGACATTGCTCGCGGATCAGTCGATTTCATCTTTAATTGAAAATAGCAATAATTTATATAAGGTCTACATAAAAAAATTTCGATCAACTATCTGTGTCAAATACCCCACTGTGCGGCGCTGGTTGCCGGTAAGCGGAAACCTGCCTCTACTATGTTTGTACTTTGTACCCTACAGCTTCAACTTATTATAACCCCACCTCAAACCTACCTCAAACTTTTGATATTTAAAAGTTACATACATAGATTACATAAACTACATCCTCTACATAAACTACATTAACTACATGTAATGTAGTTTTTAAGAGTAACATGTAGTTTTTCGAAGCCTGGATGCGAGCGAAATTGAAGATGCGAGTGGTCAAGAATAGGTACCCAGAGACGACGCTGGTTGCCGGTAAGCAGAAACCTGCCTCCACTATGTTTGTACCCTAAAATTGCTTTGCTTTTAGGCCTGGGCGTTAAAATGACTTTTTTATAGCAATATAAAAAAGTCTCGTCGCAAAAATGAATAATTTTGTGACGTTTGAGAAAAAAATACCTTTCTTAAATTTCTATTTGACTTACGAAACAATCAAGTTTTTTCAAGCATTATTTTATTGATTTTGTCAGATCGTTTTCTGTCATGCTGGGAGAAGTTACATGAAAGGCATTATAGAACTAAAATAAATGAGCTAGATATGTAATGAAACCAATAGAATCATTCAGTTTTTACAAACATCAGAATAATTATCTGAAATACTGCAAACAATATAAAGCTTAATCACTGATTTTAGACGATTTAAAAAAAATACTTTCTCTCAGTGCTTATTAGAAAAGTGTAATATTTTTTTATTTATAAAATAAATATTCCTTTTTATACTTCACAATTAAATCTATTATAATACCATGTATTACATTCAAAAAATACATACTTATCACTATTACAAAATATTACAATCTAAAAACAACCAAATAAATAACATAAGCTACATATTATACAATAAAAACAAACGCACAAGATTAAAGATACAAGATAAATCTTTCTAATAAATTTGCTATCATCACTGACATAATTTTTCACACCGTTAAACGATTGTTAATCCCCAAACCGTTCCCGAATTTCATCCAGAAAGAATAAATTAACGCCGATTAGTCTAGGGGCGTTTTTGGGAGTGTGAAATCGGATACTTTTCTCCACCCCTGTGGCGAAAGTTTCAGGAAGTCGCTCCACGTCTCACAGTAATCCTTGATGATATACAGTGTCGCAGAGAAAGTCTGAATCATATGTGATTTTTTTATTAATTGATTTAGTTGAATTTTGATTTTGGCGTTACTTTTTTTTTCTTAGAATTAGAGTTAAAAAGGCATAATTATTTTTTAAAAAATGTAATTTTGTAAAATCAGGTTAACCTTAAAGTTTTGATAAGATTAATTTTAGTAAGATTCCTGAAAAAATATCGTTTATAGTATACGGGGGAATAGTCTTTGAACAAAAAGATTAAGGAAGGCATGCTTTTTTCCATTCAAGGAAGAGATTAATGTATTTATAATTTATTTACACACATATTTCATCATTTCGCTAATATCAAAATCGGCGTATTCTAACATTTAAACAAAAAGAAATAAAGTACATATATCTATCTAAATATCTATCTATGTATGTTGATATGATCTCTGTCCTTAATGTTTTATTTAAAGCATTTGATAAAATGTGTAAAAATTCCAATATTTTTATTATAGAATTTATTGAAGTCATGCTATATTCATTTTTACAATAAAATTTAATATTGAAAAATTGTTTGTAAATGAACTGCTAAACTCGTCACAGTTTAAGTTTTTTTTACTAAACAAGTGATATTGAACGACAGATGAGTGATATACAAACCAGAAAAACCAGATTTGCACAATGGTTAATTTGGTGAGAAAAATGATAGATAATTTTTCAGAAACTATGTTTCGTAATAGTAAAAATTTGAGAAATGCAACAGAACTTTTGCTCTGTTGAAAAACTTTTTCAAATAATAATTTTTTTCAAAATTCTACTAATCAACCCATGACAGATGTTTAGAATTATTTCATTTTAATTCATTGAACAAAATTAAAAAACAATATTTTCCAAAAAGTATTAGAGGTTTTCTGATTTTCATTTCATATACTTAAACATTTGTTTCAATCCCTAATGTTAATTGATGATTTTTTTCATTTAAATCGTAACCCACATAACATTAATATACGGATTAATAATAATAAGTCATATCTTTATCCCTGACGATGGGGTGCTGGGAAGATGGTATTTCATCCCAGGAATGCTGATGCTGATTGGTCTGTTCCGAGTAGGTTCCATCGGATGTGTCTGTTCTTTGAAAACTGAAAGGCCAAGTCTGAAAAGAAAAAAAAATTAAATAGTTCGCAAAATAAATTTGTGTAAAAAATACTCGAGTTCTAAAGCGTCATTCAGAACTTTATACTTTGGAGTGTGGAATAAATTAGTGGTTTCAATTTTCAATTACCGTAGAAGTTTGCTCCTCTAATTTCAATGAAAGCATTTAGAATGTCAAAATTAGTGATAGTAATTTTCGATTGGTAGAAAAAGTTAAGCTTCATTCAGAACTTCGCAATTAGTGGAATAAATTAGTGGTTTCAATTACACTTTATACTATTTAGTTTACGATCATTCACAATATCTAAAAAACACAATTAAAATTAATAGAATATCCTAGCAACAGCTTATCCTAGCGATACTCTGTTGTATTCATAGAGAAAGCCTAATATCCAGCTTTTCAAACAGTCAACTTTTGATAAATCTTATCACAATTTCTCTTTGACAGTAGCGTAGCGTAGGGGAAAGGGGGGCACTTTCGGCAAGTTTAGCTTTGGACAACAAATTTGGCAAAACAGTAAAAAATTAGAAAAAACTAATTGGTAGTGATGGAAGTGTTGTCTATTACGAATTTGTTTTAAGTAAAAAAGTAATTTTAAGTAATGTGTAAATATCAAAATTTTAAGATTATAATTTTTTTGACATTTAGCTGAATGTGTCCCACTGGTGGGGCAGTTTCGGCTATGTGGTGGGGAACATTTGGCATTGTTTCATATTTGTCTAAAGCATAACAAAATAAAAAAAAAAATAACGTTACAAATATTTTAATATTCGGAAAGAACATCTTGTCTGTTATAATAAGCTTCAAATTAGACATAAAACACAAGATTATTAAGGATAAGTGATAATAATATTTCTACTAAAACTAGCTGAACAAAACTTCTTAAATTCTATAATAAGCTTCAAAATAAAGATAAAACATAAGGTTGTTAAGGATAAATGATAATAATATCGCTACTAAAACTAGCTGAGCAAAACATCTTTTTCTTAGTCACTAAATAAATAATTAACGCACAGTTAAACCCCCGAAGCTAACGTTAAACTTCTGGAAATTCGCAACTCTTGAAGTACCTTGCGTAATAGGAGAGGGTAAAATGAAAACAATATCTTTTTTTTCCATCAAGGCGATGTCTTCAGCATCAGGAAACACAAAATTATTTGATGTCCCCTTTCTTCTTAAAAATGATACTTTAAAGTCCTCATTTACCACCAGGTAATCCTTGGACTTTCCCAATATAATAAATATCAAACTTCGAAACCACGCATTTCACGAACACAAAATTGCCATTAACAATATCATCCCCCTCGGATATTTCTGTTATTTTTTCAAAAAACTCTTCATCATCGGATGACTCATTGTAATAAATATCAACACTGGATTCACTGGATGATGACATTTTCCTCTTTCTATCACTTGTAGTGATGCTTCTTTTAACTGTTTTATTTTCTTTTACAGATCGTTTTCGGTTTTTTTTGCCTCTTATTATACTAAGGAGTATCTGTGTAAATAGCTGATCTGCCTTTTTAGGTTTTCTTGGTCCCGATATAAACATATATATATATATATATATATATATATATATATATATATATATATATATATATATATATATATATATATATATATATATATATACTATATATATAGGGTCTTATATATATATATATATATATATATATATATATATATATATATATATATATATATATATATATATATATATATATATATATATATATATATATATATATATATATATATATATATATATATATATATATATATATATATTCAAACCAAACCAAACCAAACTTTTTTTGGAAAGGGTCTTATATCGGTCAATAAGTTTGAACCTTTTGACGAAGAATCTTCTTCCCTTGGTGGTGATAAATCAATGGGTTCAATGAATATTTCTTGCTCATCCACCACTTGCTCAACTGTCGGCGATTGCTCAACAATCGATGCTTGCTCAACAGTCGACGTTTGCTCATCATTGGGCAACTTCCTGTCAGTTATTTCACTCGGCATGATATCGGAATCAGAAAATACAAGTCGATTGGGAGGCCAGAGACCGGTATTTTTAAAAGAGCTGATAATATTTTTCATAGTAAAAGCCCCTTCATAAGTAGCTTTTGCCATGCGTGCCAAGTGACGAAATGTTATCACTCTTCCTGGATTTGCAAGTAACCAATCGTGCTGAGCGATCCTAAGATAGTTTTTCAATGAGTATTGGATTCCCGTATCCAGGAGCTGTAACCTGTGTGTGAGGAGGAACTGTTAATAGCACAATTCCTCTCTCGCGACAAACTTTAATGGCGTCAGCCAAGATGTGTGAATCGTGGTTGCCTATAATAAGGAGAACCTTATTATCCAAGGAGAGCATTTTACGTGACCAGCAAAATATTCAAGCACTTTGGGAAAAAGTTCTGCGGCCATCCATCCATTTCTGTTTCCAAGAGCTATCGCAGAAGTGCGATAAAGGGGAGGTGTGGAGGTGGGTAGGCGAAGGTGGGTAACGTTCGGCCATAGCCGAATGTTACCCACCTTTCATAGCCGAATGTTACCCACCCGACCAAAATAAGGTTTTGAACACGAAAAATTTGTAAACAGAGGTTTTCAGGTTATAATTTTGCTAGAAATCAAGAGCGAGATTTCTCCACTAACATATGACTTATAAACCACGTCGATCGAACAAAAAATGCACAACTTATAAAAGAAAATGTAGGGCTAAAAAATCTTACCTTTTCGTTTGTAAAACCAATTTTTTTCACAAAATATTTTCTTTCACCTATACACCATCAATGTTCAACTGCCGAATGGACACTTATGATAAGTGACAGATTACGGGCAAAACTGGCGCTAAATTCAAAACAGTTTATGAAATAATTGGGGTAGCTGAATGTGCCCGATGGCCGAAAGTGCCCCCCTTTCCCCTAGGCTTAAGCAGCACCCGCAACGGCGAATTTGACCACCAATTTTATTTACTAAATACATACAAGGTCCGGCAATAGTGCGTCGGGCACATAGACTTAAAATAAAATATAGACTACACTATTTACATCTCAACGCGGACAAACAACCTTTTTTGTACACATGTTTACTTCCGGGTACAGTCGACCGAGCCTTCCTCATCCAGCCTATGTTGTCACGTCTTTAATATTATCAATATTTTTTTTCTTGTTATACACATATATTGAGATATTAATACTACAGTTTAATAAAGTAGGTTTTAATATTCCATAGATGTATTAAATAGTCCTTATACTACTAAATTATAAGTCGGATACTGTTTAAAAAGGATAAGTTCTTTACAATATGATAACACCGATTAGAGGCGAGGGAGCCTATTCATTCATTTATTACCTTGTAGTACGCGTGGCAAGTGTGCGGTAAAGCTTTGATGCCGCTATGTCCCCGGCTGTATTAACGCATTTTCTTAGTTTGTAGTCCTTAAGTGTTTATTTTATTGACTTTTTCTGTTCAAGAACTATAAAATATGGTTCGCCAGTGCCAAATTTGCAAGAAATTTGACTTAAATAATCCATTTAAGTCTTGAAACGACTTTCGACCGGTAGACAACTCTCAATTTGCCCATTGGGAGCCAGTGGCGTTGTTGTAGAAAGGCGCTTATTTAGATAATATTTTAGTAAAATGTAAAATCTGAATTTTTTCTCATTACATTATTTACTTACTTACATTGTAACAAAGTCATAATTATAACCCTGTTAATAATTAATAATGATTTTATTAAAAATATGGTTTATTCTAAAATTATCTTGAGCATATAAAATAACATACAAGAATTTTAAATTGATATTACATTATGAAACAATATTTTTTAATATACCGGGTCGTCTCAAAAGTGGCTCACCCCCTATAACTTTTTTATTTTTTCAGATAAAAAAAACAGATTTGTATGTTATAGGTATATGACATAAATTAGGATTTATTGATGTATTCAGTTGTTTTTGGTCTCTTCCTGTTTCACCGAAATGATTACATCTTTTTATTTTTAAAGGCAACCTCGGTATATTGCTACTTTATTCGATAAAAAATGACACTCTGAATAGAATGACATATCATATGTCAACTTTTGACATTGTCGCTGAAAAACAAATCGTATTTTAAATTTCAATCCAGGGTGCCATGGTGTTGTTAAAAACACTAAGTTTTAATCAAGGAGCCTTGGAAAAATAGTTTTGATCGTCTAATAGGTTTCGTGTCTTGTCTAAGTCGGTTAAAATATGTACAAATCGTATTTTTAATCATACATATGTCAATTTTTTCAAATGGAACAAGGGTGACTCATTAGCATATTTGGAAAAAGCATTTTTTTATGAATATATTGATACCACACACTTGGTATTTCGAGTCAAATTGTCGTTATGAACCGCGTGTTACAATTACAATTAGACCATATGCGAAAATGTCAAAAGTTGACATATGATATGTCATTCTATTCAGAGTGTCATTTTCTATCGAATAAAGTAGAAATATACCGAGGGTGCCGTTTAAAAATTAAAAGTTATTTTTCCAAGGCTCCTTGATTAAGAATTAGTGTTTTTAACATACCCATGACACTCTAGATTGAAATTTAAAATTCAATTTTGTTTTAAACAAAAATGTCAAAAGTTTCATTCTATTCAGAATGTCATTTTCTATCGATTAAATTAAAAAAAATTTAAAAATCAACATTTAGTAGTAGTAAAAATCAACATTAGTAGTCATTTCCGGTGAAACAGGAAGTGACCAAAAACAATTGAATGCGTCAATCAATCCTAATTTATTTCATATACTAACATACTAAATCTTGTTTTTTTATTTGAAAATATAAAAAATTATGGGGATGAGCCACTTTTGAGACGCACCCGGTATATTAAAGACAGTACCGAGTTAAATAAATGTAGTTTTTATTTTATCCACTTCCTATCACCTTCCTTGCTTTAATGGAACAGATTTATGTTTTCTCTAATTTACATAATAAGACATCACTTAACCAG